GAATTGCTTCATGTCGTCCCAGTCAGTCCGCCCACTGAACGAGCACTGAAGTTATATGAAGAACCTGAACTGTCAAATCATCTGATGCAAGTGCTGAGGAAGCCTTTGAAGGCTGTCCAAGCGCCAAGGACAAATTTCCTCGTCAAAGATCTGTTGTATGTGCCAAGGATTGTCTATCGCGTTATGGCCAAAACCCTCAGTCCCATCAAGGGCCACAACTCTGAAGAAGAAGTTGCTGGCATCATGAAGAACTTGCTTTTCAACATCATTCATGGTATTCCAATCAATTATCATGATTTCTTCATGAGGACTTTGGTCAATGCTGCTTTGTCACCCTTTGAGTTGAAGCCTTACGCTCCCTGGATCATGAAATTCATCAGATCAAGGACTTCAATTCACTACAAGGCTGATTTTCAAAATCATCTCAACTATTTCCCCCCGATTGAAGTCCTCAAACGAAATATTTCCTCAGCTGATGAGAAGGGCAAGGCTATAGTTATTGATGAAGGCACTCGTCCTTTGGATGGACAGTTTTGAAAGGCAGCATCCTACTCCACTAATGATGACTCTACCACACATGATACTGTTGCAAATGCTTCAAAGCAAAATCCTCAGGCAACAGCTCCGCGTGTGATGACTGGTCGTAGCTTCTTCTAAGTCTTCATCAGAAGGTGGACAGAAATCACAAGTGGGTCAATCATTAGTTTGGTGCTATTCTTCACAACATGATAGTCACTCAAAATACTGTGAAGAAGAATAACTATTATCTACATCAAGTCTTCGACCACACCCGGGCTATTCTTTCACATGTCTACACTGAGGATGAACTCAAGAAGATGGACTTCCAACATGACTTTGACAGGTCTCAGCCACCTTCGAAGAAATTCAAGAAGGTCAAAGTTCCTCCGCTGGTCGTCAGCTCATATTCTTCATCGTGCGAGACGGACGAAGCTGAAGATTTAGATGACATTGAGCAGGTCCCTACTACAATGGATGACCCCAACAACGCTGGCGCTCCTCCATCGACATGATGATATTCTTCAGGGGCATTAGTCCTCACTTTTCGTCCCTTTTGGTCATTTGATGACAAAGGGGGAGAAATTTGAGTTAGTCTTCAAGCGAGTCTATATATGGGTGTTTCTTTGCTAAGTTACAACTCTCGTTCTTCTGAAGTATTTGTTGGATCGAGTTGTAAACTTAAGTCCGATGGTGGCCTGATACTTTTGCTTTGTTTTTTCTGCATGCTATTTCCTCACATATGTTAATGCACACATGCTGAATTACATCAGTCATCATATTTCATCATGCATTTCAAATTCTTCATTTGATATGTTAAATGCGTGTATGAATTACAAGATATAGGGGGAGATCTCCATGATATTACTCTACAATGTGCATTGCTTTTTGAAAGCAAATTCCTCATATATGCACATCTTCAGGGGGAGTTCTTCTATATCTTGCAATCAAATTCCTCAATATTGAACACTTTCAATTGATATGTTTATCCCCGTTGAAAACTTAACCTATTTGTCATCAATCACCAAAAAGGGGGAGATTGTAAGCGCATCTAGTGCCCCTTAGTGATTTTGGTGTATTGAAGACTTATAGGTTAAGGGACTAATATGTTTGTGAGTGTACACATGCTCTATAAGTCGATGAGGAGTTTGATATTTACGATGAAAGTCGACCCCCAAAAATGTATGCCTTCAGCTGAGACTTTGGTTCTCCTGAAGATTTTGAAAAATGAAGAAATTGGTGTGCCCTTGAAGACCTGGATATTCATGTGAGGATTATTAAGCGTGAAGACTTTTGTTTTCGTAGTTTCATTTTCTCTTTCTTGAGTCATAGGAAACACCGTACTGTTAAAGGGGTCGAGGTAATACTAAGGAAACTGATTTCCAGGTGATGCTCATCTCAAAATCCTACACCTACCCAATCCTTTCAAGTGAAGCCATTGGAAATCTCATATCAGTTCAGTCAATTTCTTCAGTGACAGAGACGAAGATCTTCTGGTCTTTGAGGAATTTGTTCTGACTTAGGAGTTAGGAATTCGCCAGTGCGGATTGCCTACACAGTGAGGAACATGATAGCCCTGATGGATTCGCACCTCAAATATCTGACCATTGCTGTGCTATGCGCCAGCTGTCCCAAAATACCTACCCACCTAACGGTCATATCATTGAAGGACATTTATATCTTATCATGTCGGGCTGTTCCCTAGGCTATAAATAGCTGCCCCCTACAACCACTAGCTGGTTGGCTGCTCCGAGAGAAACTGACATTTGTCATTGAGAGCATCCCATCCTCCGAGGACTTTAAGCTGAAATCATCAAGTGAGGAAAAACCCAAACACAAACACCTACAAACCCAAAGTGATTGAGCATCACTGAAGAGATTGTTCCTGTGTGGAACCGACGCTTGTTACCTTTGAGGACTGTGTATCCTCCAGACGGTTAGGTGTCATGGTCTGAGCATCCAAGAGGAATTGTGGATCGCCGAGTGACCAAGTCTGTGAAGGTTTGGAAGTCACTTGTGAAGACTTACCACGAGTGTTGGGCGAGGTCTGTGTGACTTTTGCTCAAGGAGAATATGGTGAGGACTGTGTGTCCGAGACTGTGTGTCCTCGAGTTTAAATACTCAGCCGCTCTAACCAGACATACAACTGTCACAACAGTTGGAACTGGTTTACCAAATCATTGTCTTCACCGAGCCAACTGGTTCTATTTCGTCAACCCTTTCATTTCCTCATTCATGTGTTGATGAACCTGATCATTACTGTTTGAAGACTTTGACTGAAGACTTTCTCTATTTCCTTAATCCAATTTCTTCACTCACATAGTCTTTAGCCTGCTTATCCTGTTTTCACGCTATCTGTACTCGGTGCTTGTTTTCATTTCATCATGATGACTAAGTTGTTGCTCTATTCTGTTTATACCCGAGTACTTATTCTGCTGCTAGTGTGTCGTTGCTTAGGAATTTCTTCACCTAGGAATTCCTCAGTGACGAATTTGTAAAAATCGCCTATTCACCCCCCTCTAGACGATATAATGCATTTTCATTTATGCAGGACAAAGATATAATTTCCCCCTCCTTCCATTAGTTTTCAATCGAAATCATCTATTATTCCCATCACCTCTTTGAAATCCTTCTCGCGAGCTCTCTGCCTCCATTTAAGTTCCTCATTTATGAGCAACCTTTTTAGAATGGTGTCCAAAACCATCTTAAGTTCTCTTTCTCCCATGGGTAGGGCACATGATTCAATTTTCTTATCCAACTCATTCAACTTGCGTAAAATCTATTTGTTCAAGTTTACAAAAACCACTTTAACATTAATATGCCACCCTTTGAAATGTCTCCTAGGCCTCCTAGCTTTTGTCCGCCATCTACCAATATCTTGTACACAGTAGGTTGGAGCAATCCGGCTTCTCACCACCTCTTCCTTAAAACCTTCTACCTCTAGCCAAATTTGAATGGGCAATTCAGAATTTAAGTGCAACGACATATGATCAAAGAGCTTTCTGTTCAAACGCAACATTGTTGCTAAAGGAAAATCCACATCCCACTTACTTGAAACTAGCACTCTGTCTAATATCTCAAAACCAGGAATTTCCAAATAACTGGCCCAAGTAATCGGTTTAACTTGGAATTTTGCATATGGAGATCACAAACAAATGCTTGTTGATGAAATGGTTATGGAATTATGGTCATCACTACTGGCCTAATTGATGGTTAATTTTAAAGCTCATAATATATGGATGCCATGAAAATTGAGATGAAATATTTTTTAGTATATGGAGAGAATGGAATTGAACATTGGGAAGCTACAGAAGCCATATGTTGGCAAACCGTGGAACCGTGGAAGTGGTCATGCGAGCCGGGAAATGTATAATCCCCGCGGGGGGGGGGGGGCACCTGAATACATTGCTCAAGATACCATGAAGGTAAGTTTAGAGAGAGTCGAATGGTTCTTACGGTATTCGTCTAAACACGACATGAAATCATCGTAGTGAGAGGCGATCTGACAATCCTGTCATGTGTTTGGCATTTGCGGGCCATGCATTGCCAATGTGAAAGATGATATCAACTAGAAAGAAGGTAGTTGGCCTTACAGAAAGATGAGTAGCATATAGCCCAAAGTTGACTTATGTGGAGTGTCCCCACCCTCTTCTTTTCTTTCATACTCGCAGGGCACCATTTTTCTCACCGGTGATGCTTACAAAAACCCGCCTTTTTAGAAAAAAATGAAGATGATTTGCGGCATATTATTGGTCTGTGGAGGAAGTGATGCCCCAGCCACGGTGGAGACTCGCTTGTCATGTGCCATGCTTCAGGCTTCCCTTCACAAGCCTAAAGCATCATGGAGCGATGTGTCAACATGGTAATAAGCAACAAGTAGGGGGGGGGTGGGGCAGAGAAAAGGACGATGCATTAGCTCATGAAAAACAAACAACGTCAGTCGGGTCATGTTGAAGAAAGCAATAAAAGTTAAGAAAAAAAGGATGATGACAATAATGAAACGTTACACTCTCCGACAACCACTTTGCGTTGCATAACGGCATAAGCGCCTTTGTAAAAAATAGCGTGTCTACAATTTGCGTTGTGTGTGATCTGACAAAATAGCATTTTCTTTTTGGAAAAAATAAATCAAAACCGTTCAAAAAAAAAGGGAGTCGTTACCCGGCCCATGTAAGGTCCAACCTGGCATCATCATTCACGAGCCCTCCTCGCAGGCCCGAAGCCAGCCAGCAAGCGAGCAAGCACGACATCTCTGTGCTGCGGTCGCTGGTTCCATCGCCTTTTTCTTTTCTTTCTTTCTTTGCGTCTCCTCCAAGCCGAAGCAACAAGGACGAACCAGATCGATCCTTCCGTCGCGTCCACCATAAGACCGAACCGGCCACCACCCCTCCGGCCCCACCGCCTGACACTCCACGCCACACAGCCGCGCCCAAATCCCCCAAAACCCTAGCCCCGAGGAGGAGGAGGCGGAGGCGGCGGCGACCATGGCTGCCGCAGCGGCGAACCTGGCGGGCCGCCCGGGCGTGCGCGTCGTCGTCATCGGCGACCCCGGCACCGGCAAGTCCAGCCTCGTCGTCGCCGTCGCCACCGAGCAGTTCCCCGAGAACGTCCCCAAGGTCATGCCCCACACCCGCCTCCCCGCCGACTACTTCCCCGACCGCGTCCCCATCACCATCGTCGACACCTCCTCCAGGTCCCCCATCCCCCCACCCCATTCCGTCCCGCCTCAGATTTGACGATTCCGTCGCGGATTGATTGATTTCGTGTTCGCGCCGCCGGTGTTGACCCCGTCGTCCTCCTCTGTGTGTGTGCGTGTGCTGCAGCCCCGAGCAGAAGCCGAAGCTGATCGCCGAGTGCCAGGCGGCGGACGCGGTGGTGCTCACCTACGCCTGCGACAGGCTCTCCACGCTCGACCGGCTCAGCTCCTACTGGCTCCCGGAGCTCAGGCGCATCCAGGTAATCTCGCACTCCATGGCTTGGTTCGTGGTCAGTGCAGGGTTGGGCTGGCCATGATTGGCGATTTTACCCTGGGTTGCCCGTGTTGATCTGTGCTGTCCAATGTTTCTGTGATTGCAGTTGAAGGCACCTGTCATCGTGGTTGGGTGTAAGCTGGACCTGAGGGACGACCAGCAGAACAGCCTTGAGCAGACGATGGCGCCCATCATGCAGTCGTTCCGTGAAATAGAGACCTGCATCGAGTGCTCCGCGCTTCGCCAGATCCAGGTGAGAAAGACCCCCCTTGTCTCAATATCTACCGAATGTTGGTAACACTTTTATTATGTCAAATGGTTGATTGTTCACAACGAATGAAACTAGAATGCTCAAAATGCTGATGCCAGCAGCTGCTCAGCCTCATGTAATATTCCAACATCGCATTTTTTATAATTTGATTGTGTACTAATTCAACTATAAAGGGCAACCTGGTGCATGTAGCTCCCGCTTGCGCAGGGTCCAGGGAAGGGTCCGACCACTTTGGGTCTATAGTACGCAGCCTTTCCCTGCATTTCTGTAAGAGGCTGTTTCCAGGACTTGAACCCATGACCTCATGGTCACAAGGCAGCAGCTTTACCACTATGCAGTTGATAATTTGATTGTTGTGTTAGAATTCTAGATACTATGCTTGAGTAGGTTTACTAAACAGATAGTTTATGAACCGCAGGTGCCTGAGGTCTTCTACTATGCCCAGAAGGCAGTGCTTCACCCCACAGCTCCTCTATTCGACCAAGAGGCACAATCTCTAAAGCCACGCTGTGTGAGGGCTTTGAAGCGGATATTCATTCTATGTGACCACGACAGGGATGGAGCTCTCAGTGATGTGGAGCTCAATGACTTTCAGGTTTGTATTCACTGAGGCCACCATTCTTCCTTTATCTTAACATGAGGCTGACTAGAGTTTTTTATTGACATTCTTCTATGTATGATGATACTGAAATTCTCTTTCCATTGGTTTGCAGGTCAGATGTTTTAGCGCTCCTCTCCAGCCTACTGAAATATCAGGCGTGAAGAGAGTTGTTCAAGAGAAGATGCCCGAAGGCGTAAATGATAGTGGCCTTACATTGACTGGATTCCTTTTCCTTCATGCTCTTTTTATTGAGAAAGGTCGTTTGGAAACTACATGGACAGTATTGAGGAAATTTGGTTATGATAATGAAATCAAGCTTAGAGATGAATTCATTCCAACGTCAGTCAAGCGAGCTCCTGATCAAGTAATGTTCTGTTGATTACTGTCAGCTATTCACATTTTGTTGTCTGTTGTCGGTGATTTTAGTGTCAATTTGTTCTTATAATGGCTTACGTCTAAGTTGATAGTTGATTTCAACTGTATGGTGGGTATCTGCAAGCCTGGCTTCGATATCCACTTACCTATGTGTTTAATATTTGCCATACCTTTGGTCTATAATATTTCTTTGGTTCTAAAGTCATATCACTATCTTTGTTACAGACGGTGGAATTGACAAATGAAGTGATTGATTACTTGAAAGGAATATTCAACATGTTTGACATAGATAATGTAAGTCTGATGTATTGATTGTCACATTTGTTTTTTATCCTCAGTGCAAATGTTATTCTTGGCATTTTCATTCTAAATCTTATCCGTAAAAAACTTCTGTGTTGGAGGAAGTTCTGAAAATGTGTTTATGACTTATGTATCAAATCCAGGACGAAGCTTTGCTACCTTCTGAGTTGGATGATCTTTTTTCAACTGCACCTGAAAAGTAAGTTGTTACTAAAAGAAAGGGTAATTTTAATCTTAGTTTGACACTTTGTAGACAATTGGTTGTAATTTAGATACTTTACTCATATTGTTAGTAAACCTTGTATTACTTTGTCTTTGCTTTGCTTTGATGGAATCTGTTGAACTTCCATTAAATGGTTCTCAAGTTTAGTCTATTTAGTCATTTGTCTCTGCCTACCATTCACATATCATTATTCCAGCCCATGGACTTCTGATCTATATAAAGACTGTGCTGAAAGGAATGTCTTGGGTGGGCTATCACTTGAAGGATTTCTTTCTAAGGTATTCTCTCACTCCCAGTGTGCTGAAAACTAACACTGTCCGTGTGCAATAATTTTTAATGCTGTTCGTTGGTTGATTAAGCTGTTTTGTTGGTTAGATTCAACGGCCTAAGGCTCTATTTGGAACACATATCCTTTTATTCATTATTCTGACTGTCTTGTGCTACATCTGTTACTTAATATAAGATGTTTTTTTGACACTATGACAGTGTCAAAGAACGTCTTATATTTTGATATGGAGGGAGTACCATTTGGTGAGCTCAATTAATCTGTCTGAGAAAGCCGAATAGTTTGTTGTAACCATTGTCTGAATTACTGCACCCTATTCCGAGTTTGTCATTCTCAGTATGCAAACGAATCCAGAAGAGATTATATATCAGTTTTGCTATATATACTATATCAAACACATAAGAAAAATAAACCAACTAAAAATAGGATAAAAAACTTTTAGTAGTGTTGTGCTTGTTATGATTAAGATGCATCATATTAGTGGCGTGCCTTGAAAAGCTTGTGGAACGTTTCCAGGTAAGAAAGCCTTTTCTTATTATGCATATCTACACCAGTTTAATCTTGTGGACATGTGCTTGGAGAACTGTAGGCAGAACACCTGTGTGTATTATGGTGATATGGTTTCTTACTAGATTACCGGTAAATTTTCATTGCTGACTAGTATCTCGTACAATTGCAGTGGACTCTTATGACACTTTTAGATCCAGCAAATAGTTTCGCGAACCTTGTATATGTCGGCTATTCGGGTGATTTTAATTCAGCATTCACCATCACGAGGAAAAGACGAGTGGACCGTAAAAAGCAGCAGACTCAAAGAAATGTGTTCCAGTGCTATGTTTTTGGTCCCAAAGGTTCTGGAAAGACTGCATTGCTACAATCATTCCTTGGAAGGTATTTGATGCATTTCCCTGTATTTACTCCATGAATTTTCATACCATCTTTGGTCCTTTTCGGAACTCCATTTCACTTGTTGTCTTCATTGCAGGCAACCTTCTGATGCTCTGCCAACTAACAGCGACCGGTTTGCGGCAAATACTGTTGAACTATCTGATGTAAGTAGTCAAAAGTGATGTCTGTATTCTGCTTGCACTATAAGCAAACATTCTGGTAAATGAAAATTCTATTCTTAATGATGCAAGACATCATGTGAGTGTACAGACAGAAATTAAGATAACCCAAATTTTCTTTGCCAATGGTATGTGCAGTAGTTCAATCTCGCCCTTTCCCTCTTGCCATCTTCATTTTTGGTGGATATGTGAGAGGGAGAGAGAGCCTTTCAGAAATCATAGTGATGGTCTAGTGGAGACGATAGGGTGACATTAACTTCAGCAGTTGCGAGTGCAGCTTTGAGATTTATCATTTTCTAATCATATGTGATCTGTAAGGATGCTTCTACTCTGCAATGTTCATATCTGATTCATTATGTCTTTGTTTTATTGAAGGGGAATAGAAAAACACTTGTGCTGCAAGAGATTCCTGAAGGTGATGTCAGATCATTGCTAAACAACAAGGAATCCTTGGCACCCTGTGATGCGGCAGTCTTTGTTTACGATAGGTACGCATTCTGTTTCTGCCGAGCTATTTTCTTGTTTATTGTACTGTTTTCTGCTTTGTGTCATATATGCGGGCAATTTTTGAATTGTTCTCAGTGGTTCTGATGGCCCATCTTGGCAAGGAAATTAGGTTTACCATTCAATGCTACTTGCAAAATCTCACGAACTTAGTTCATTCATGTATTGCAATCTGATTTCAGTTACACAATAGCTTACTGGCCATATCGAATATATCAGTGTAAAATGATGCTTGGTCAGTAAAAACTGAATCTCTTTGATCCTTAGTTACCTTTATTAATTGATTCGAATGTTCATCACTGGTTATGTAAAAAGTACAGATGACAGTTGAAAATCTTGCTTATCCTGGTATATCTTACTCTGTGACGTATTATTCACTATTACATAAATTTCCTTATGTGACACCTGCAAAATGGCAGCTGTGATGAATTTTCTTGGCAAAGAGCAAGAGATTTGCTTGTGCAAGTGGCTTCACATGGAGAAAACACAGGCTATGAAGTCCCTTGTCTGATAGTTGCTGCTAAGGACGATCTTGATCAATCTCCAGTGGCTCTACAGGAATCAACCAGAGTAAGCTCCGATACAATTTCGTTTGACATTTTAAATTTACCATTGTAGTGGGTGAATGGACAAACAGATATTTCAATGGATTAGAAAATGTTCATCCTTATATTTCTAAACTTGTGCACGTGATGTTTTTGCAAGTGGTTCCTGTACTTATTGACCACAGTTCTCCTAGTAATACATATGTGGCAGACAGAGCTGTACATGTATGGACTGTCTAGTTGTTTATGTTTGTTGCAGAGTAATCACAAGTTTATCTAATTTCAGGTGAGCCAAGACATGGGAATTGAAACACCAATTCCCATCAGCGTGAAGTTGAAAGACTTGAACAACATTTTCTGCAGAATAGTTCATGCGGCACAGCGGCCCCATTTGAGCATTCCAGAGACTGAAGCTGGTAAAACACGCAGGCAATACCGTCAACTTCTCAACCGTTCCCTCATGGTTGTTTCAGGCAAGTCAACCCCACGACCCTAATCCGCATGGTACCTAATATAGATATAGCAAGAGATACATATAATAACGCGATACATTTGTCATCTCATAAAATACTAACTACTGGTAGTCCATAGCAGAGTGAATTAATTGATCGATTTAGAGGTTAGGGGTGTCGAGCATGATCTGTGGAGCAAAGCCCGCCCAGTACTAACTTATATTCTAATACTCTGCAGTTGGAGCTGCTATAGGTGTTGTGGGGGTAGCCGCGTACAGGGTTTATGCGGCTAGGAGGAACTCGTCGTCGTGAAGCCCCCCTCCCTCCGGTGCAGTCGGGAAATAACGTGCAACAGGCAGGTTCATCGTCGATGAAGTGGATCGTCTAGCTTGATGTTTATGTACAGTTGCGTCATCAAAGATAACTTGTACTACTGCGTGTTTGAGTTTCGGATGGTATAATGTACGACAGTCATCAGGCAACGTTAGATTCTTTAGCTGATAAGACTGTCATGACTTGATTTGCTCTGTTAGAATTTCACCTCTGTCCTAAACTTTTGTCCACATTTTCCTTTTGATTTCCTCTGAACATTTTATATGTTTATTTATTTTGGCGTTGGGGATGCAGTTGGAACCTTTTTGCTTTGTTCGTGCTTTTTATTGATTTCATATAGTTCTGTTCAGTTTATTTTGCTTAGTTACAGTTATCTCTTAAAGAGTGTAGGACCTAATTACAGTCAAGTGGAAGAGCAAATGGTAAAAGTAAAAAACACCAAACGCTGACTGATTGTTTTTACCGATATATGGTCCGTGGTTTACGCCTATACGAGTAGGAATAAATTGACGAATTCTCTGGTTACATCCCTCGCATGTCTACATCGGTCGTACGTCGGAAGGAACCCGTCGCGAACGGTGGCCGTCACCGTCGGTTGTGTCTGGACTACGGTAAGCGCCAGCGTGATTCGGGCAGTGCCTGGCCGTGCCGACGTCTACAGCCACGCCCTCGTGTCGATGCCAGACAAGGCCCATCTTTAGTTGGGTTATGCCCGTCGGTCAATCACAGGCACGGGGTCGCTTTCGCCATCCAGAACGATAGATAGAAGAAAATGATGATTCCACTAACCGGCCTTGTCACGAGGGAAATGAAATGGAAATGGCGAATGCGGTGACGTGCGGCGCAGGTTCCTCATCGGTCACCATGATGCGTACTCGACGGGCGCACAGTGCCCGGCTCGAGTTATCACCATTATTTTTTGTGGCCAAAAGTGCCAGCTCGAGTTCAGACAACGCAAGCCATATCTCCAAAATCTCAAAAAAAGAAAAGAAAACGCAAGCCAAGGTCGGACTCTGAAGCTGGAAGACTAATAGTAATAAATAGTCGCTGCAGAACTAAAGAAATCCAAGATTGGACACAGTGCACTTCAAGGGTTATCTTATTGCCTGATCCTGGACGTGCACGGGTTACAATCATCTCCACCAGCCGGACCATTGATGCAACGTCTCTCGTGATAGGCGTTAAAGGACCGTGATAACTTCCAGCCAGATACATACATAATACAGAACCGAAGAACGTAGAGATCCACACCAGCAGTGCTACATACGAACAATTGCTCTGAATGTTTGCAGGTTTGTAGCAAACACGCTATTCATTCCATTCTCACACCAGTTTTTTCGTGCACATACAAGCCAAACAAAAAAGCGCCGCCGTGTGATCACCACCGGCGGCTAGTATACAACGGAGGCAGCAGCAGCAGCAGCAAGTTTTCAAATCCCTTTTTACAATTAGGTTTCCCGACCGATCGGATGCAGCAGCAGCAGCACACGCCCTTACTTTTTACGTACTACCCATAGGCAAAAACACATAGGATTTCTCCCCTCCTCCGGCTGGGGGAGGCTAGAAGAAGGAGCGCTTGGTGGGCACCCTGCCGACGGCCTTCATGAAGTTGGCCAGCTCCAGCACCTTGGCCAGCTTGAGCCCCCGCTTGGCCTCCGCCGACGCCCGCTTCTCCTCCGCCTTGTGCCGCGCCTTGGCCACGTCGTTCTGCGTCTTCTCCACCGCCTTGGCGCGCTGCTCGTCCAGCTTCCTCTGCACCCGCCATTTCGTGGGATCCATCATAGTCAGACATAAGGTGATCGAGATGTGAAAAGCTAAAGGAAAACTCTGAACTCGATAGTGGTTCCCCCGGACAAAGACCACCACTCTCATTCTCATAGTCCTATCACTTTGAGATGAACGTGCTAACGGTCCATGATAATCTCACACGTAAACAGTAGTCTCCTTTATGTGCAGAAAGTTGCATGATTGAGAGCTGTAAAACGAACTGATGTTCACACGCACGCACCCACAAGGAAAGGGGCAATTGAGACAGCCACTCTGATGTAACACCTCTAATTAACTAATTTGGGATTGGTTCATTTCATATACCTTTTCTCAAAGCAAGAATAGATAACTAATAGTACTCCCAAAGCAATAATAGATAACTACTAGTACTATTCTACTCAAAAGGAGTACTGTGTTAGTGTTGCTAGGCCTAGAAACTTCCTTTTTATTTGGGAGAAAAAAAATCAGCTTGCTAATCAGTGATCACAAATCTCATGTGCTGATTGCATCAACCACCGATGGTCTACCCAATCAGTCTGGGAACAGTGCTAATTTTGTGCAGGGAAAAATATTTTTGGGCAGTTTAGTTGCTGTATATTAATTTGTCATGCTCTACTCTTTTTCTGTCTTGAATTGACAGGACTGTGAAGCTTGGAGAATTGTTTTCTCGATTGGAAGGAAATAATTGTTTTCTGTATTTTTGGGCAAATTAAGCTCAAAGCAAGTAGGATTCCACAGTGATTTTTTCTTTCATCATCAGAAAAGAGGTGCAAAAGGAAGTGGAGAATTTCTTCAATCATTACCTCAATCTTCTTGAGCCAGGCGGAGGCCTTGTCGACCTGCTCCGTCTCCCAGCCGTTGATGACCACCTCCTCCCGCTTGAACCGGTTGTTGATCTTGGCGATCTCCGCCGTCTGCCACGCCGACACCTTGGTCTCCACCTCCTCCTTCTTCACCTGGCTCGCCTCCACCGGCGGGCCGGCGGCGGGGACCACCTCCAGGTCGAGCCGCGCCGCCCTGCCGCTGCTGCCGCCGCTCCTGCTGGGCGGCGTGGCGAAGGGGCGGCCGCTGTCCGGCACGATGGCCAGCGGGTTGTGCTCCTCCAGCTCGTCCTCGCCGATGCTGGTCAGCTGGTCGGCCCCGCCGTCGTAGGGCCCGACGGGGTGGTTGCTGTTGCTGTTGTTGCCGTTGGCGTTGTTGTTGGCCGCCCCGGCGCCGGCGCCGGCGGCGACCATGGCCGTGAACTCGCGGCTCATCGTCATGAACTGCTCCTCGGAGGTGACGGAGCGGTGGCTGCTGGCGCTGTCCCAGGCGGTGGACGCGGCGGAGACGGTGCGCGTGGGCGGCGTGAAGGGCGGGTGCTGCGGCGGCGGCGACAGGGGGCGGACCTCGCGCACCTCGATGACCTCGTCCACGTCGTGGAAGGTGGTGTTGGTGGTGCTGGTCACCAGAGTGCCCTCCTCGTCGTTGGCCCCTGGGGCATCGTCCTCGTCGTCGGACGCGGAGGGTGGTGCGTGCCGCTCATGCAACATGTGTCGGCGCCGGCCGGCGGGGACGGGGCACCATGCGCGGGAGAGGGAGGAGGAGGACCAGCAGTGCACGCCTCGCCCTCTTGACTGACTGATCGGTCGATCTTGCTGTGTCAGTGCGCGGTGTGGTGGGGTGTGTGTGTGGGCGATGGGGTGTGGTTATATCAATCTCTTCATCCGTCCATCTGTCCCGGGTGTGGGTGAGGCGACGGCGATGGCAGGTGGGGGCGGCCTTGTCTCCCGTGGCGCGTACCGTGGGATGACACGTAAGTGTCGCGGGGGCAGCTGCGAATGTTCGTTTAACCCTTGTTTTTTTCCGCCTCTAAAAAAGGCGAAAGACAGTATATTAATCGAGATATGTAACTTCAGAAAAACCCTAGCAAGAATAAATACATCCAAACTCTTTAGCCGAAGTCTTCTTGCTCCTGCATACATCAGCGACGCACCGTGAGCAAAGCTCGTTGCTGCCTCTGGGTTCCCGTCTCATCGGAGCAAAACTTGTTTAAACCTAGAGAGGGCGGCTGGGGTTTGAAGACGCGGGTGGCTGGGGTTTGCGTAACAAAATCACCGCTCCGGAGAAGATGATTGAGAGGGCATGTACAATGCTTCAATTCCAGCCAGATGAAGTCGGAGGAAAAAAAACTCAAAAAACTCACACGCTCCCTGACAAGGCCGAGCCTGGCTAAACTTCGATGGTCGAAACTTCAGTCAGAGGATCAATACTGTCACATCCCTAACTTCTGGTACTGCATGGTGTTTGCATCTGGTTGCATCATGTTTAAATTCTATTTAAATTGAAATGGGGATTGATCAAACCCTAGCATCAGAAAGAATTCAACTAGGTTCAAATAAAATATTTTTCAATGAACCTGATATGACCTTCTAAAATGTTCATCATCTTTGCCTTGGTCTTCAACCTCTGACAAAAATGTTGCACAATTTTTTAGGTCATCCTAAGGTCACTGAATTAAATCATAAGTATTTGAATTTGGACATTTAAATTCTATAAAATATTTAAAATGTTCAAATAATCCTAAACTGAAATGTTTCATGTTGGATAAATTCCAAACAATGTCCATGAGCAGTTTGGTGATTTTTGAGTATGCCCTGACATTTTTAATAAAGCCCTAAAGATTACAGAAAATAGAAAACATTAACAAAAGAGAGAGAGAATACCTGGCGCTTACCTGGCCGGCCCAGCTGGCGGCCCAGCCATCTGGCCCAGCCCACCTCCTCTTGTCGTCTTCCTCCCCTCGTCCCGAAGCAGCTCGGTGGCGCGCGCCCGAGAGCTCTCGGCCACCTCCTGCTTCCACCTGGGAGCCCCGGGCCTTCTACCAGCGCCACGGAGACGCCCAAAGACCCTGTCCCCTCTCCCTCACTCGCTGCTCTCTCTCCCCTCCCCTGGCTCTCTCCCCCGAGCTCACCCGAGGGCCATCGTCGCGGCCGCTCGCCGCTGCCGCGCCCAGAGCCACTGCCCCGCCTCTCCATCGTGTCCAAAAGAACCGCCCCGTCGCCCTACTCCTCCTCGCCGAGACACACGGGTCGGGAAGCCCTGCTTCGTCCCGAACGCCGCTGTCTTCTTCCGTGGGATCCGACGATCCCCGTCGTCGCTCCGTCGACTGCAGGCCTTCCCCGAGCCCGACGAGCACTTCAATCGACGCGCTGTGAGCCTTCGGTCGATTCCCCTCTCTTCCCCGCGTCATTTTCGCCTCGTAGCCGCCGCCGCCATTGAGGCCGAAGCTCGCCTCCGCTCGAGCTTGTCGCCGGCGTCGCTCCGGCGACCATTTGGTCATCCCGTGCTAACCAACATGCCCGCCGCATCGCGTAGTGCCTCGCTAGCGCCTCAGCTTCTGCGTTTGCACGCCACAGCCCCAACCCCGCACATGGCCGAACTCCGGCCGCCGCCTTGGAGCTCGTCGTCGTTGGCTCCGGCCACGATAGACCCGGCCTCCACCACCACTAGATGCGCGCCTGCTAGAGCTCTCCAACAAGCCCAAGAACGGCCTCGCCCGTGCCCCGTAGCGCGTTTCCGGCGGCCGCCACCGTCTCGGGCCTCGCCGGCGTCGAGTCGCCGGCGGGTTTGACCCCGCTGACCCCGTTTGACCACGGGTGGGCCAGTTTGACCCCCTGGGTCAATGACAGGTGGGGCCCAGCCCCGCTAATTAACTAGGATTAGTACCAAATGAATTTAGTTAAGCTAATCACACTGACATGCGGGACCCACTGTCAGATTTGACCGGACCGTGACCTGTTGACCTGCTGACATCACACCTATGTCATGCTGACGCAGTAACTTATTTTCTGGATTTATTCTTATATAGGAAATTCCAGAAAATGTTGCAAACTTCTAAAATTCATAGAAATTCAACCGTAACTCCAAATGAAATAATTTATATATGAAAAATGATCAGAAAAATCCAATCTATCCATCTGTACCATTTTCATGCATGTTAGAACAACTTATGACTGCTGTTTAGGACAAATCATATAAATGGCATTTAAACCTTCACATATGGAGTTTGAATTTGAATCTTGGATTCAAACCAATTTCATTTAACCCATTGCTAGTTGCATTAGCTCAAACTACAGCATATTGCCATGTCACACTCATGCATCATATTGTGGCATTGCATTGATTGTGTTCTTTCTCTGTTGCCGGTAACTGTTCCCCTCAGTAGACGTGGTACCGACGATGAGTTCGATGACACCGATGAAGAACTATACTATCTTCAGAAGTGCCAGGCAAGCAAAACCTCCTTGTTCATTCTGATAAAATCCCACTCTCTCGCTCCTGCTCTCTTTTACTGCATTAGGACAACAACGATTCATCTGTTACTTGCTGCGGTAGTTGAACCCCTTTATCCTTCGCATGACCTGTCATTGCCACAGTAAATAGATGAAACCCACTAGCATGAGTAGGAGTTGTTTGAGCCCTGTTGTGCCTACTCATTCATGCTTGTTTGTCATGCCTGCTACTGCTTAGAGTTGAGTCAGGTCTGATTCATCGGGGATGAATTGGGATGTGGTGAACATGTCCTACTGTTGAGAGCTAAGTGTGTGAACACGATTTGGTAAAGGTAGCGGTGAGAGGCCATGTAGGAGTACATGGTGGGTTGTCTCATTGCAGCCGTCCTCAGGAACTGAGTTCTGTGTTTGTGATCCATGACCAGTTACTACCACACATTGGGTTCCGATAACTCGACCCCTCTCGACTTATTAATCAACATGATCTTTGTGCAGGAGTTGCAACTAGTTTCTGGTGTTTGTAGGTAGTGTTAGTATTCTACCAAGTGGCACCCGGTACAGGTGGGCTTGGGACAGACTAGGCACAGTGGCACGGTGTACCAAGCGTAGGTCCACCCGTCGAGGTGGGCTTGGGAACCCTGCACACATCGTTTGGGGCCGTGAGTGACACCCCGGCCGGATCTCCTTGCGGATGGAACCCGAATAGGCGATAAACCTGGACGAGAGACTTGTGTGGTTAGTCAGGTCGTGGCCGACACCCTCGCTGGGCTTCCGCTTGAAGGTTGCCGAGTACATGTCGTGTAAACGGCGGTAAGTGGTGAGAGCATGTGTGAAGAAGTACACCCCTGCAGGGTTAATATGATCTATTTGAATAGCCGTGTCCGCGGTAAAGGACTTCTGGGTTGCCTGTACAGTTCATAGACAAGCGAGAAGTGGATACTCTAAAATACGCAAGATAAGCGTGAGTGCTATGGATGGCGTTCTCATAGGGAGACGGGAGCGGATCCATAGTGGTGTATTGATATGGTGAATATGTGGACTCGTGTGCGCCACCTCAAAAGAGTTACTTGCAGTCGTAGTTCAGGTTAGCCACTGAGTCAAAGCTGGCTTGCTGCAGTTAAACCCCACCATCTCCCTGTTGATAATGATGCATATGTAGTTAGATCTGATGTAAGTCTTGCTGGGTACATTTGTACTCACGTTGCTTAATTTATGTTTTTGCAGAGAGACTTCAGTCTCGCTAGTAGTACCGCGTGGACTTCGACGTTTAGCTTGTTACCTCAGCTACGATCTTGAGCCCTCGGCAGGATCTGGTAGATAGTCAGGCTTCTCAGCCTTTTTCATTTGTAGATGTCTGTACTCAGACATGTTAAGCTTCCGCTTGTGCTTTGACTTGTATGCTCTGAGTGTTGGGTCATGAGACCCGTGTTTGTAATATCTCGCTCCTCGGAGCCTATTGAGTAAAATACTTGAGTTGTAGAGTCATGTTGTGATGCCATGCTGTATTTCCACATATCGAGCATATTGTGTGTATGTTGTTGAAATGCTTGGTATGTGTGGGATCTGGCTATCTAGTTGTTTATCCTTAGTAGCCTCTCTTACCGGGAAATGTCTCCTAGTGTTTCCACTGAGCCATGGTAGCTTGCCACTGCTCCGGAACACTTAGGCTGGCCGGCATGTGTCCTTCTTCGTTCCTGTGTCTGTCCCCTCGGGGAAATGTCACGCGATGAATTCCGGAGTCCTGTTAGCCCGCTACAGCCTGGTTCACCGGAGCCCTGCTAGCCCAGTGCTACAGCCTGGATTCACTCGCTGATGACCGACACGTTCGTTGTTGGGTCATGTATGCCTGTCCCTGTAAGTTAGTGCCACTTTGGGTTCACGACTAGCCATGTCAGGCCGGGTTCTTTGTCATATGGATGCTAGCGCACTATCATATACGTGAGCCAAAAGGCGCAAATGGTCCCAGGCCAGGTAAGGTGGCACCCGTGGGAATACCGTGCGTGAGGCCGCAAAGTGATATGATGTGTTACATGCTAGATCGGTGTGACTTAGGATCGGGGTCCTGACAGCTTTGGTATCAGAACTTGACTGCCTGTAGGATTACCAAACCAAACTGGTCGAAGTTGAGTCTAGAAATTCTATAGTTATGTAAGGGAATTGATTGTGGGATGGAACGTAAGGCTCTTTTTACTCCTTATACCTTATGCCCTTCTGATCTGAGTCATCTTACCTTTCCTGCGGGGTTAAGGAACTAGGCT